ACCTCCCTCCTCACAGTAAGGCTCAGTAAATGGCCAAATCCAATTCTTGCCCTCGAGAACTGGATCTTCACAATTCCAAATTAAGACAAACGAGGCGCATACTTTTAATTATTTGCTTAAAACCGCGTAACATTTACCAGAGAGGGTCTGCTCTCAGTTTAGGCACAGCGAACCTAGGAATCTACCTTGTTTCAAGAAGTGGGGCTTCAATTCAAGGTATTCTACGCTGCCCTTATCGTGCAAAACTGAAGATCACCCTAGTCTAAGCTCCAGATGGGATCTTAAAAGGAATCTGCATCTTAATAGACGCTTCCTCGCTCAGAGTGGGGTTCCGAGAATTAGGCAATAAATGTTCACTGCACACTCTGAGATCATTGCTTAAAAGGTTTTCTCTCTGCCAAGTTTTATTAAAGAGATCGGATTACATCGTGATAGGCAGGCTCTGTTGTAGGACTCCCACAAATAGGGGTGAAAAGACCTTCTTAGGAGACTTAAGGAGAACCGAACAGGCCACACTCCATAAAGTTAAGCTGTTAATCTTACGTTCTCTACAAATATCATGCCAGGTACAGATGGGGGTGGGGGCGAGGGAATCTAGTAATACTAGAACTGAAGAACTGAAAGTCACTCAAATATGTAGAAACAAGTTCCTGAAACATAGGGTTCAAGGACAAAATTCTCCCCTTGTTCAGGGGTGTCTTTGTTTCAAGCCAGTGTAGATACCAAAGAGATAAGAAAACAAAGTTGATACAAAATGGTCTGCTAAATTACAAATCAGTTTCCACTGATTAAAACAGGGAAAAGGCTTGTCATGTTTGGATGGGATGAAAATTTTTAAAATCAACACTCAAGGTCATGACCAAAAAAAAAAAAAAAATCTTATGATGTCACATTCCCTTAACCATATAAGAATGAAGTAAAAAAGACGCTTTTGCAAAGATATAAATTGATGTGTCTACTTCATCACTTGTGTATTTTTTCCCCTATTTTCTGCTATTTAACCCTGGGGGTGAAATTCATGTAAATGTCAGAATAGGAATCTTCATACTTCAAAGTGGCACACTTAATTCCCATAATTGAGCTTCTACTTAGCCGCCGAGTTAGACCCAGAAACACAGACAGGAACTGTGTAGTAGTAGTGAATGCTATTTGACAAGAAACATTCCAAAGTACTTTATAAAGAATCCTTGGAAACCTCAAATCCATTCATCCTTTGGCCTTCGAATGTGAAGTTCTATGCTTGGGGACAGGAAGGGTACTTACCAGGCTCTGGAGTCAAAAGCCCAGTTCTAGTACATGGTTGCCTCCCATTCCAGCTCTGTGAGCCCTAATCTTCCATTCACTTCTTGGTAAAGTAGGGTTAGTAGCTCTTGGCTCTCAGGGTTTGAAAAAGATTGAGCTAGAAGTTTGCAAAGTATTCGGTATCATTAAAAGGTAGTTTTTGTTTTTTTTAAGAAAGTGTACAAATAGGTATATTTTAAAATGTGAGATCATATTTATCACTGTCACAACAAATTTGTTAAAGAATGCAAACCTGTGATTAAAATTAAACTCTGCAGATTCGCCTCAGCAGAAAACTATCACTAGTCTGATTGGATTAATATGTGAAATACTATTTAGGGAGGATGGAACAGTGTTCCTGAAGCTCCTGCGGACTGGGTATTAGTAAATCAAGTTACAGACTATGGATTTCCATGGAACAGGATCGGTGTGTACTTGGATTAAAAACAGACACATTCTTGGTAAAGGAGAGTTTCAGACAGAATTAAAGTGGGACTTTATTTATCCAAATTTACTTTGACCATTAGTTCTGAAAAATTTTTTCTATTCTACATGGGATAGAATTTCTAATGTATAGCTTAACATTGTCAAAGATATTTATACACTGCTAAAATAACATCTCTCAAAATATCCATTGGTTTTAATATACCAGAAAGGCAAGATAATAGTTATTGGAAAATATAGATGATAAAACAAAAATTATCCTTTATATTACGTGGTTGGGGGGCAGTGGAGAGCTCTTATCACTTCTAAAAGTGGAGGGCATGATTCTCCAAATCATAAAAGTGATTTGTTATACTTTTATTGAATTCCTAGAGTCTATTATTACAGGGGGCAGCAATTTTTCTGTAAAAAGCCCAAGTAGTAAATATTTTAGGCTTTATAGACCATATAATCTGTCACAACTATTCAATTCTGCCGCTGCACTGCAAAAGTAGCTATAGATAATACATAAGCAGATGAGTGCAGCTGTGTTCTAAAACTTTATTTAGAAACATTGAAATTTGTACTGCATGTCATTTTTCTGTTATGAAATATTATTTGGATTTTAAAAAACTATTTAAAATGTAAAAGCCTTAGCTTGCTAAAAGTTTTCGTTCACAGGCCTCTCACAAAAGTAGGTGCATACCAGATCTGGTCCAAGGGCTACAGAGGTTGTCAGCCCCTGACTGATAAGATCAAGTAAAAATGACACATTTTAGTGATCTTTATAAACTCAACATCTGAGACAACATCAATGACTACAGTGCTTATGACATCCTTTATTCAATTCACATAGAAAAGCATGCAGTATTAATGTAAAACAGTACAGTATTAATGTAAAATGTTCAGTGCACATTAGATAAACAAGTCATTAGCATACAAACCACTTTTAAAGGCCTATATAGGCATACCAAACATGTTTAGAATAGTATACTTTTTCAGAGTAAATTAAAAATTGTGCTTAGTTCACCTACTCTCAACACCCTCTCCACACTCTTCATGGAAAAAAAATTTTGTCCTACATAAATGGTATTTTATTAGCCAACTGAAACTTCTTTTTCGTAAGCAAGGAAAACAGTCCAAGCAAGAATGCCACCATGCAGAGTTTTCACAAAGAACATTAACATGCAAACGACAACTTTATCACTCCAAAAAAAGCTTCCGGGATGTAAGTGGATCAAGAACTTAGTAATGAGTTGCTTTTGCACCTGTGTATCTGGAAAACAAATGTGTGTGTGCAGGTTTCTCCAAACCCAAAGCCGAAACCAAGAGGGCTCAACTTCCCATTTAGAACACACATAAAAAGGGAAGCAAATGAAGTTACCTGACATAAAACAAATATTTTCATACAGAAAATGTATTCTTCCATACCAACAAAACATTTTTACAAACACTGGCCAACACACAACGTTAAAATGCAAACGTGAAACCTAAAAAAAGTAAAAGAACATCAGACTAAGATTAGAGTGCTATTTCTCCATCATGGCTTTACATAAAATTTAGGCCATAACTAAATAAACATAAATAAAAAGGGTCAGGCAAAAATAATTTCCACCCTAGGAAAAGTAAAAAAAAAACTCAAATGTGTTAAGAACAGTGAATAGACAACACTTACAGGTTTTATTTAAGAAATTCGAGTTCTAACACAACTGAGGCTCATGAAAAGGTCACTGTATTGAACAGTTGAATCAAAGTCCAAAAGAACAAAATATACCCAAAACCAGAAACATAGAATATTCTTTAAAAAGAAGCCCTTTCCCTACCTTTTCTGGTCAAAAAGATCCCTAATGAAAATGAACAAAAGTATTCTGAGTATAGGCTAATCCACCATTGTGACTTGACACTTGAATAAAGATTATCAATTCCAAATTGTATAGAATTTTTATGAGGGTGAAAAAGTAACTTGAAACTTCTATTCCCCTCAGGACAGAAACATAAGTGACACTTTCTAAAAGTGAGTCAACTTTTAGTTGCTTTTGATGGGCTGGCATTGGAAAGGCTGCTCTGGATTTTTCTTTTTGTTGATTGATTCACATTTTTATTTCTCTTTTCAGGCACAAAGGCAGTAGACCAAGGAGACTGAAGATGGTTGTGAAGACTGTGCATCTCTGAAGACATCTTAAATAAAGAGGACCCAAACCTTTGATCTTCAAATAGCCGGTGTGAACTGCTTAACAAAACACCCTGAGAAAACTCAGTCTGAAACAAACAGCTTGGGGGTTTGATTTCCTCAGTCCCTGGGTTAGAATTGGAATGGAGTGAAAAATCCTCATTCATCTCTTGGTCAGATGGGGAGAGGAGGAAAAAAGAACTGGGTTTCCATTCATTTCCATTTTCTAACTGATCGGCAGTTAGAGACCCTTTGGAAAGGTTTGGCTTAGTTCTTTCTTCCAATTTATCAGGCTCCTCAAGAAAATCACTACCTTGAGACGACTTTGACAACCCATCCAAGTCCGCCGATTTAAAACCGCTGTTACAAGGACTCTTGCTGTTATCGGACTCTGACATCATCGAATCCAGCTCCGAGATCTTGTCAAGGTAAGCCGCGTCCATCGACGCTTCGCTGGATGTCCGGGTCCGATTCATTTCGAAAGAGCGAATAGAATTCAACCTCTTGGATGAACACGAGCCTGACTTCTCACTCAATTTTGAAGTGATTTCTCCAACAGAATTTGCTATCGTGCTCCCCTCTGGACTTTCAAAGCCCAAGCTTGGGGCATAGCTTGAGGTGCAACAATCCCAAAATCCTGTTTTGGGGGAAGTAAAGCGTTCTGATTTCTTTTCATTTTCACTTCTGTCGTCTTCTGAAGAATCTTTATTACAAACACTTGGAGAATCACAAAAATCATCAAACACCAATTTTCTGAGGTGGTTTGAGGGCTTTTTGGAACCTCCCGTTTGGACTACAGAGCTCTCTCTATTTTCAGGAGTGCTGAGCTGAAGGCAACTAAGGGACAAAGGAGTGCAGGGAGCTGGGAGATCATACAGTTCTTCATCCTTGTAGAGTACACAGTCACTGGGCTTATTACTCCATTCTCTTTCCAAGTAAGTGTCCATACTTGTATCTGGCACATCTAACATTATCTCCACGCGCTTCTGATACAGGTCTTTGTTCTTAGAACTATTTGGTTCTGTCTTGCTGGTGCTTTCCTGCCTGGCAGAACTGCTAGAAGGCTTTGCCAGGTGAGAACTGGAGGTGGATGTGCCAAGCTGTTTTCTGGCACCGTCACCTTGATTCTTTGATGTCAGAGCCTCCTCACTGCCTTTGCTGCTCTTGCCGTCTGCCGAAAGTGCTCTCTGGCAAATGGAATTCAGAGCTTCCTTCTCTTCACTTGAATTTTTTAGCTGTGCAATTTGAGATTCTAGTTCCTCTATATACTTATCACTTCGTTCCAGGGCTTTCTTGAGGCGATTGGTTTCACGTTCATACTGTTCTACCTTGGACTGAAGAGCAGCCACGGTAAACCTTCCGAACCTGCAAGGGACAAAGAGATAGGTGACTCTCACAACTCAAGTATTTTTTTTCTTTCCTTTTCAGAGTTGAAGAGTGCAAACTGTCTCAGTTCATTCTTGCATTGCATAGCAGTGACATTTCAGACAACTCAATAAACAGGGCAAAGCAATGCCAGGTGTAGGAGCATAGAAAGAGGGTTCCACACTTAAGTAGTAATCCATGTTAGAAAAGAAAGCCAAGATCTAATAGGATACTTTTGTGGTCAGATCACACCAGTGTGGTAGCAGAGGCAGAAATCTGCTGATGATTTCCCACATAAGAGCTGATTTTATCAATTCAGCTCATATATGCATGAGGAGTTATCCCCTAAAACAATGACAAAGATTTATGATAACATTTGAACAGTCGTCTACATCTTGAAATATTTACATTCAATCATTTTCCTATTGCACAGCAGTGTTTTACAATACATTTCTTATACAATGTCACCTTGTCACACATTAAATGCCAATTTGAAATGCAGAAATCTTAGTAGTCCCAGCAGGGGTGGTTTTAAATACTTATTTGGACCCTTTCAATTACAGCCACCCTCCATTTGAAGTTTTTACTTGGCTCTTCTGAACACTGTGCTTTAATTCATTTCAGCTCACCTTATTTTTGGCATTTTACAACTGTGTGGGCTATCAATCTCATTTCTTCCAACTTTGAAATACAGAGTCAGTGCTTGTGGTTCCGATATAGTACACATAAAAACATTTTACGTTTTCTTAAAAGGAACATTTTGCAGAGTAAATGAAAAAGAACACATCCCAGATTCACCCTTCACTCAGGATTACCTTGTTTTTATTATAGACTGGGTTCAACTCAGGAAACAACCTGGCTGGCAGTATATTTGGAGCTGGTGATACAAAGATCAATAGGAGAGTCCCAACTCCAAGGGACACAAAATGTCTACCTTTATCAGACACCAAGGAAAATTCCATCTTTTAGGAAACTGCTTATTATGAGCTAAAAATACAAGCCTTACATGCTAACCCTATAAAAACAACTTCTCTCCAAAGTTCTTTTAAAAATCCTTTTCTTGGGCCTCCCTGGTGGCGCAGCAGACCTTTCCTGGCTCGCCCGCTGCTCCCCTCAGCAGTGTATTTCGGTCGATCTGCCTGTTCTGTTCCCCACTCTGTCCCTGGTGAGTCCTCTCACCCCCCGCATCTCTGGCCTGTACCCCAGCTCTTGTATGCATAAATAAATAAATCTTCAAAAAAAAATCCTTAGGGATTTTTTGGATGAAATTACTGATCCAGCTTGAAGAATTCAGGGACAGTCTGGAGGAAGGATTTTGAGAAAATAACCTCAAAAAATTGCTTGTATCTGTGGGTTTATCTTTATTCTATCTCCTTCCCAATTTAAAAAATAATTACAATTAAGAAAATGTACTAAGTATCAAGAAAAACTATAAAGGAGAAGTCAACAAAATTGCACCTCTGACTATGACTGCCACTTAATGCCCATCACCCCCTCCTAAACTGTAGCTCAATTCACTTTCCAACTCACCCCCAACATAATCCATGCTTTTGTTAAAAAAAGCAGGGGAAAAGGTAAATATAGAGTCATAAAATATTAGAGTTAGCGAGGGCCTTAATAGACACATTGCCGAATATTGATGTATTCAGCGCAATTAACTGAACTATCAGAAAGCAGACTCCCCTCTACCTCTGAAAAAAATGAAGCAAAACCACAGGTTTTGTTAAAGACAAAGGTTATTACAATGACTATTCCCCTGAATGAATTTTGGAAGTTTTTCCTTCTTAATGTTTATGAGTTCTTGATTATAATTACTCTGGCATAATCAAATAGCTCACATATTTTTAATGGCAAAACTATATAGAACATTTATTAATTCAAACCAAAAAAGTGACAGTCTTTCATCTACTTATCAAGATAAAATTCGTTTTTAAGTACACTTTTTATAATAAAGGTATACTCAGATGAAAAAAAAAATCAAACAAACAGTTTAAGATCAACTGTTACTTGGTAGTAAGTCACTGTTACAAAAAGATGTCACTAGGAACTCAGAGCTTACATTCAAAAAGACTGGTGACAAATCAGGAAGGTTTCCCAAAATATGCATAGCTTCTTATTCCAGGTTTTAGTTTGGAATTCCAGAGATAATGTCATCTAACAATGATACTGTATTTGCCTTTATGATTTTTTAAAATTGTGTCTTTAAAAGAAGTAATTTAACAAATGGTTCTGTGCAAAGTCAAAATGATAGCCCTAATCGTGTTTCTGCATTATTTCAGAGAGAAAGCCATCAGAAACAGCAATGGCCAGCAGCAGCGTATACGTGAGTGGGAGAAGTAAGCAGCAGAAGTCACTGATGATGTCAGCTGTTTTCTAGAAGATCACCGCTCAAAATTCCACTTCAATACTTTGCAAGTCTATAATACTTTGAGTGATCAGACCTTTTTACCATGCTAATAAGGTACCTGTGCTGATGGGCAAAGTAAAAGAAATGTGTGGTGAAAAGCATGGAACTGATCAATTAATTCATCAATCAATCCATTTAATTTATTGTCTTCTCTCTCTCTCTCTCCCCATTAGAGTACACGCTTCAAGAAAGCAGGGAATGTGGCTGGCTCCCCAGTACAAGTCCCCAGGTAGTGTATCCCTCATTTAATATTTCTTGAATACTGTCCAGATAGAGCCAATACCGCAGGATAAGCTAAACATTCTTGGACCCCTTTATACGCAAGTTTTATGAGTCACCATACTGCTAAACTAAATGTTTTATACATTTGACTATTTTCCTTTTTTCACTGACACCGAGGAAAGCAACAGAGAATGACACATAAACAGCTTTGTCATTGTTACCTTGTTCCATTAAAAAAACCTCCCATTTTTACCTTAGTAAAAGAATGCAAATAGATGAGAATTTTGATATACCTAGTGGGGATTTTTAGCTTACCCTAGATCCTAAATTTGGCAATGAGCATTTTACTTGATCATACAGAAATAATAATTAGGGATGCATATCTGATGTTATATATCCATGGAAGAAGACAATGAGGATAAGAGCTTCTTTATCTTTGGGTTTTTATACTCTCTTATTCCAGATATTTCACAAATTCCAGATATTTCCAGAGTACATAATATTAAATGAATCAATGCCAAGGCAAGCCGGAGGGATTTCTAATATCATTTACCATACTTCCTTTTCCCGAGCAAATTTCAAAATGGAGTATTTTTATAAACATTCCATTAGAGACCAAAAAGCTTTGATTTTCAAAGTAGCAGTGATGGCCAAAGGCTTCATTAAGCCACAAAAAAACATCGTAGAGCAGTTTGGGATCTGCAACTGATATCAGAAGTATATTCTGCTAGAATCTAGGAGAAGCCGAAGGGATTTTTCCGCTTACAATGTTAACTGATGTACATAATCTGTCTGAGGGTGCCCCTTGTCCTCACAGCCACAGAAGTACAGCATAATCGTTCCTGTCCTACTAGAAATGAATGTCCTAAAGGTCTGCACTTTGTGGTATCCTACCAGATAAGGATCTCTCTAAGAGTGAAAGGCTGCCAGTGGACATGTTCTCATAGGCCATTGCACAGTAGGAAAAGGACTGTCTAATGGGGGTCAGAAGAAAGCAAATGTGGTAAAGAAAAAATGCCAGAACCAAGTATTAAAAGTATTACCCTCTAGTTCTATATTGCCATTAACTAGTTGTGATTTAAGCAATCCACTTTGCCTCTCTGGTTTTCAACAGCATCCACAACAATAGGGATAAATGCAGCAAGCTCAGTGGGTTGTTGAAACCATAAAACTTTAGAGACACTAGAGAAGTGAGTCCACCTGCTTCCCATGTATCTTTGATTTATATCTTCTCTTTTCTTTCTGGGTAACAGTGACCTAAAAAGACAATAATTCTTAGATCTGGACCAATTTTTGAGATCTGGCCTGAATGTTGTCAATACTGATGTGCTTGCTGCAAATGGCTCTGATGTGCACCAATTTCAGTTACCAGAGTTTAGTTAAGTAATACCAGTCACCTAACAATATGGTTCAAATGTCAGTTACCACATTATATTAACATAGTTGTATAAAGGTAAAACTTTGCCACTAGCTCTCAGTGTACAGAACACTATGTAAGTTCCAGACAGGCATCAAGAAAAGTGAAAATCAGTTCATTTCTTTCAAAATCTGAAAGTGACAGGCCACTGTGCATATGTTACTCAGTTCACAGACAGTGAGGATGTAGTTGTGCAGCCACTTGACATTTTATAAAACTGGATAATTAAAAGATGGAACTGACCAAAAAAGATAAAGGTATGGCAAAAAAAAATAAAGGAAAATCAGTTAAAACATAAATATAGTTATAGGTGTCTCCTGTGCAACGACAGAATACGAGCTGACCAGGGGACTGTTGAAACTGCTGTCATTCCAGAGGCCCTAGACTTGCCAGAGGAACTTGGGAGAAGCATGTATTGACATAAATAAGAAAACAGTTTTGACAAGAAGGATAAAGATGTCTAAGGGAAGTGACAGGCTGGCAAAATAGCTTTACATTGAAGCAATATGGAAAAATATCACAACACTGGAAGCACAAAGGAAAAAAACGTTTGATGCTGATGGAAGTGTAGGAATGTGACAAAATTCATCAAGGCATTAGAAGAGATGCTAGCTTTGTGTCATGAGCCATACGATGAGAAGGTAAGCACTATACAGAATATTGTCAAGTTATTTACAAAGAAAACATTTTAATTTGCAATGTTTCTAATTTAAACTGTAGTATATAAATACTACTTTTACTATTTGTTTATTCTCGCATATGTTTATAGTTGACAGAAAGTGTCGATGCCTTGACAAAAATTCCTAAGAGTTACACAGCAAATTTGATTATTTCCCGTTGATTAGTAAGATTGCTTTGCAGTTTTAGCTTGAATGGTCATTTTAAGGTCCTATACAACCATGCTCCGTGAAGATTACCTATACTAAAGTAAGGGCTGGGACATGAGAAAGCCACAGAAGCTGAGTTTGATTTTTTTTAAGAAAGAATAACCCAGTCACAGAATGGATTTTATTATTGAGTCGCTTGTTTATATAGCTGCAACTGCGTATCTTTTCATTTCTTTCAGACTCCCGAGGAATGTATTTTCTTTACTTTAAACAGAGGGGAAGCAGAGTTTCAGAGGGAAGTGCTTTCTGTTGTACAGGTATACCCCACTTTTTGAAAGTTTCTTTTGTCACTTTTACCAAAGACCTATGTGAGCACCAGTTTTTGCAAATCGGAAAAGAAATTCAAAGAGGACTGACCTTCAGCCATTCCTCCTCCTCCTACCTCCCAAAAGTACTATTTCAAAATTGAGGCAGAATCTGCTTTGCAAGCTTTCAAATAAAAAACAGGATTTAAAAATAACAGTGCATATTAACACAATTTTAAGGAAAACTTTTTTCTATTTATTACCCATGCTTCCACAGTTAAAAATTGTGTTGTTTAAAATGCTTGCGAGATACCTAGAGATTCTTAATAGAAACAACCTGAGTGCTAGACACTGCATGCAAATTGTAGAGAGAGAGATTCCCGTTTTTGGTCTCTAATAAGGGCTGACCCACCTACATCTACTTTGGATCCTTATTCATGGCCTATGGCGGTGGACTGTTCTTTACTGTGGAATAAATTCCCTCCTATTTGATAAATATATTTCATTTCAATTCCACAAATACATGCCCTAATTCTGTGCTCCCTTACCCCATGAAAAAGATCCATCTTGATGTTTGCATGACATCCATGAGGACCCTAATCTTTCATGGAAAGAGAACCCTAAGGCATGCTACTTTATGTCTTCTTACAGGTCTAAGAGGAATAAAGGACTTTCTACCTCTTCCAAAATGTAATAACCTTTACAACAACAACAACAACATCTCAATAGTGTAAAAGAATATACAACTATTGTTAGGTAAGAAACAAGCTTACTTAAAAATCTCTGGATTTGGAAATTATATATATGTATCTTCAAAGGATATATACATACTTCTCACTAAAATCTGTTTCTCCTTCCCACCTCAGCATGAGTGACACTAAAACAAAATTATAAACTGTGATCCAGTCACCCTGTCATAACTACTCAGATGACAGTTAATGAGGATACTGTATGCTAAGGGAGGCTGAGGACGGAAAACAAAAGGAGTAGCAGGCATTACCCTTGTTCTGAGCACTTCATAATCTTTCTGACAACCTCACTGCTTAGTCATTAGCATGCATTGCAGGCTCCTAGAATATCTTAACACAATAAAGGCAAATTGATAGAAACCACAGTAACTGTCCATCTCCAATTAGGTGAACATCCAGAGAAGGGCCCCTCAGGCCGCGGAGGAACTGAGTATGGGTGGCTGTCAGTCTGGCTCCAGCGTAGCATCAGGCTCCCCTGACAGTCTACAAGGTCCCCTTTCGGAACAACCAAAGGGCAAGGCAGGATCAGTCACAGGATCAGGCTGGGGTCAAATACCAGGAATCACAGCATTTGTCAGGGCAGAATTTGAGAAACAGAAAAGGTAAGAATAGGTCAAAAAGGCACAGTAGCCAAGACCAGAGTGTTACTGAGGAAGTCAAAAACCTGGGGTAGTTTGAATAGTACTGGCATGTCTGGATACAGGTTAGGAAGAGCAGGTCTGTGACCTAGGAAGGGGCCACATCTCAGCATCAGCAGGGAGAGGAGCAAGGGCAGAAAATCCTGTTTCAAGTAGGAGATTCAAAGAAGAAACCTGTTCCAGAGCCAGGCAAACCTTAACATCGACGCCTCCTTTCCCCTTTCTAACGAGCAGTCTCTGGTTCAGCTTAGACAGGAAAACTTCAGGAAATCCTCTGCTCTCTTCATTTAGAGAAAATGCCAGGGAAGCTCTGATTTTCTGGCCTTGTATACCCTTTGTACTTTAAGCTTCCAGAAAGCTCAAAATCTTAAGTGGTCAGTTCCCTCCAAGTGGCATCACAGAGTAGTAGAGTGGAAGGATATTTATCTTTCCTCCTGCCAGGCCCCAGAGAAGGAACATACACTCAGGTAGATGCACATAATTTGTATACATATATGCATTCCATGCATTTTAAAAATATGGTTTAGCTCCAAAGAACTCACAGAATTACTAGGCATCAGTCATGAAACTGATGAGCATACAATATAAAAACAGTAGAAAGAACAAGTGAAAAGTGATACCCCTGTCAGAGAAGGCAAAGAAAAGGGTATGAGACAAAGGTACAACAGTATGTCAAATTATGTTACATCTGGGCCCTGTGAGAAATTTGGTCTGGCCAGTCAGTTACAAGAAGGGGGACACTGGAGAAGAGGCAGGAAGGTTAAGCTGAAGACATATCAGTGGAGAGCCTCACACTAAGAGATCTGGACTTTAATTTACAGGCAGTCACCGAAGATAATTAAGGAGAGGAATGAGATGATCAAATTTATATTCTAAGATTCAGGCAATAACAAATAAAACTTTAGGGTTAAGAAAGGAGAACAGGCAAACAGTAGAAAGATTGTTAAAAGAAACTAGCAAGAATTCATGTGGATCTAAACTAGTGGGAAGGAGAGTAAGATGGATGATAGAGGCACTTACGAGCTAGGAGGGATAGACTATACTGACCAATTAGGTGTGGGATGAGGAGAAGGGTTGTAATGAAACATAGGAGCCTGAGGGTTTTTATCTTGGGCAACCAGGTGAGGAGTTGGCGAGGAGTAAAGCCATGAAGGATAGGAACAAAGCAAGGGGATAAACAATCTTTTGGGGGGTGGAGTTGGAGAGGATACTGGATACAATTTAGACACACTCCTACACCCCTTTTTTGTGCTGCATGATGTACTAAGGACATAAAATCATATCTGTTAATCCTTATACTGGCACATTATCCACATTTTACACACACTGGTTCAAAGAAGTTAATTTATCAAATGTTATTTATCTATTCATTTAATTATTTAACAAATATTTATCAGGTGCCTTCCAGGTGCTGGGGAATTGCAAGTGAAGGAGATAGGCAGCAAAGTCTTTAACCTTGCAGAGCTTAGGGTTTAGAATGGAGGAGACAGACAACAAACAGGTCTCTTAATTAAATGAAGAAGATAATTTCACACAGTGATAAGAGCTAAGACAACAATACTGTAATATTGGTTGAGTGTTAATGGGCTCTATTGCAAGTGCATTTCAACTTTTACTTCATTTAACCCTTACGACAACCTTAACAAAGCTACTAACATTGGCCCCAGAAGTTACTACTATTGTCCCAAATAGTAGTAGCAGACAAAAACTCAGATAACAATGAAGTTAAATATCCTCTTCTCCCAAATCACAGAGCAAGTAAGAAGATAAACCAGAATTCAGTGCTGCGGAAACTGGCTCTGGAGTTTATGCTAATAATCACACCAATATTGCTTCCCCCTGCCAGGATGTTATTACTATGAGGTCATAGTAAGTGAATAAGGCAGTAGCTGGTGCTGGAGAAGTCGTCTACTTGAGACTGAATGATGTAGACAGGCCTCTCTGAAACTGACAACAGAAAAAGACAGCCACATAAAGATCAGAACAGTCTCAGAGTAGGAACAAGCCCAGCCTGCTGTAGAAACAGGAGGCGGCTAGTTTGACTGGAGCAGGATAAGCTGGAGGAGGGCGAATGCGATGAAGGGGGCCGGCATAGACCAGCTCGTGTAAAAAACAAATCTTATTTTTGAAAAATACTGCATGGTTTTAGGTAGGAAATTAAAACAATTTGATTTACATTTTATAAAAAGACAGTTCTGAGCATGGTGAAATGAACTGGGAAGGGAAGAAAGGGCAAAGTGCAAGCAGGGAAATGAATCCAGGCAATCTGTCTCCAGAGTTAAGCATTCAGCCATTATGCTTTGTGGTGAATTTAAGGTACAAGGTCTTGGGTAAAATTTTAAAATAGAACAATGGAAATATGAATCTATAGTTCAGGCCAAAAATAATTCAGATTTTATTTTGTAATCTCTGAAATAAAGGTAGATGATTATTAAAGCTATGGGAATAGATGAGATGGTTCCAGAAACACAGAAACAGCAAAAAGAAAAGCAAGACTAGGTCACAATCTATGAAGCTTATTCTTTCTTCCTCAGAGCACTTCTGTTCCTGTACTAATAATAGGAAATACTGCTCACATCCAGAGAGTAACTGGAGTCTGTCTCTTCCCCCAGGAGGAGCTGGGCCTGGGTGAAGATAAGGCCTGGGGTGGCTGTGCAGTAAAAGAGCTGCCTGCGGGCAACATTACCGGACCCACAGATCTCACTAAAGACACAGTGATAAGAACACATAACAGTCCTGAATACATATTTATAGAAAGTCATTAATTCAGTTATAACCAAGTTTGATATAAACAACCTACAGACTTATGTAAGCTGACTGTATGCTTTTTTTAAAATAGAGGCATGTTTTTTATTTATTTGTTTCGTTTATACATGCACTGGGTACAGTCAGAAGCACGGGAGGGTGAGAGAATTCACCAGAGCCAGAGCAGGGAGCAGAGCAGGCAGAAGGACCGCAGTACACTGCTGAGGGGAGCAGCGGGCGGCAGGAGAGGTCTGCGCACCATGTGGGACCCTCCTCCGGTGGCCAGGGAGCAGCCGGGGATTGAACCGGCGCCGCCGCAGAGGCCGCAGGGAGCTTCGCAACCCAGCTCGCATCCGCTGCGCCACCGGGGAGGCCTGCTGACTGTATGCTTTTAAGGTGAGTTAGTATCTGAGGACAAGTAACAGCTGCTGCGCTAAAGCCTCAGAATTGCTGGCAACAAGGCACACACCCTGCCTAGCTTGGCAAGAGCAAAAAAAGGCACAACTGAATAGACAAGTCTCAGAGAATGGGTATGGAACGTTCACATGTTTTACAAGTCAATTCTTTATACCTCTTCAAGCTAAAAGATCACGAAGGGACTCCTAACTTTATCAAGGGCAGATACATGCACATTTCCTGGCACAGTTTAGAAGTAACTAAAGCCAAGGGAATTTAAGAACATGAGAAATGCAGTGCTAAAAACTCTCCCTTTCAGCTTCTTTCCGCTCTCGTGTGTCTCACTATGTGGAGGTGTGGCACATTTGGTATCTCCCTTTAAATTTGAGACCGAGCACATGCCTTTCTAGTTAGAGCAGAGACCGATGGGTGCAGTGGAGTCATGCAGCCAGCAAAAGCAGTGGAAATAAATGACACGCCAGATCTTTAAAAGATTATAGTATTGTTTTTAAAATACCATGAAATACATTACTCTTATACAACACGCTCTGCTAAAGACCATTGTTAAAGTTTGAAGTTCCTCTTGTTTACATTAGATCTTTAGTTCTGGGACAATAAATAGCATAGTTGTTTGATGTTGCTATTTGACAAGAAATACCTTGTACTACAGACTGAGCTGTATCTCTCGAATTCATATTGAAGCCCTAATCCCCAAAGTGACTATATATTTAGAGACAGGGTCTTTAAGGATGTAATTAAGGTTAAATGAGGTCCTAAGAAGAAGATTGTAAGCTGAAGGGACTCTATACTTCTAAGAAGAGGGAGAGTAAACAGAGCTTCCTTGCTAACATGTGGATAGAGTGAAAAGCAGGCGGTACACAAGCCAAAAGGGTGAAGCTGAAACTGCCGAACTTTAACCTGGCCTTCAGAGTTGTAAGAAAATAAATATTCAATGTTAAACACCCTATCGCCAGTATTTTGTGTTGGCAGCCCAAGCTGACAAATACACTTTCCTAATCTTACTCCTCTCTACTGTCTAAATTTTAAAGCCTTTGTACCGCCATGCTTTGTAAATGCACAATTTGTAGCATACAAAAAACACTAAGGCTATGTGTACAAAAAAGCATACCTTCATGCCTAACGAAGTAGACAAGAGAAAAATAATGGGCCAAGGCACTTCTGAACCAAGGGAATGAAATGGAATGGATGGATTTTATTTTATTTATTTTTAAAGGGAAGGAACTTTAATACAACTAGGAAACAAGACAGGAAAGGCAAAGAATCTAGTTTCTAAATGAAGCACCCAAAGTTACCTGTCCCCTCGTGGGTAAAACTCCATCCAAATGGGATTGGCCCAGAGCAAGGCCCCAAAGCCTGCCCCAAGTCTAAAGCATCTTCCAGTGGGACCCACAGAAAAGGGTCAGAAACAACCAGACAAGCCCGGGAGGAAAAGAGCAAAATCAAGACAAAAACTGTCATGGTCACCTCCCCATGGGTCTCACCCACATC